AGATGATCACTTAGGACCATATTAAAATAGAGAAGCTTTGTCACAGTGAGCAACAGATGTTATTAAGAGAAGAGGAGATGATATATGCAAAGCTGAAATACAGGATAACAGAAACAAGAGAGACCACAAAACCCACATGGCATATGTCATAGGATAAGTAAAATAGTAACTGAGACAAAGTTAAATAAAAACTTGGAAAACATGATACATATGTAGAGAGGTAAGAGGTAGAATCCTCAAAATTCATGCATCATTTAACTGGAAGATACCATCCATTTGTTTAAGGAGGAGAAACAGGATGTCCTTTCAGACCTGCTCTTGGGAGCGCTGAGCATGTTTAACTTGAAACTCAAGCGGAAAGTTAAGCATGTGCCTGAGTGTTTGAGATTGGGATCGTAACCTGAGAGCTACTGTGAATTGGCTGTTTTAAGGCATGTAATTAGATGCAGCAGTGTAGTATCATTAAACTTAATCCCAAAAACAATACAAGAATAGTAACTTGCATGGCTTCATAAGCAGTTGTAGGGCTTTACCAGCATTAAGGCATTGTAATGGCCATGGGAGGGAGGAATTCAGCATGTCTTTCAAGTCTATTAATTTATTCAATCAATTGAAGTGTGTTGGGATTTTTTTTTTTTTTTTTGTAACTGGATAAATGGGGGGCCAGCAAACTCATCCATCAGAGTACCAGAGCTTGTTGCATAGTCTCACTGAAGTCATTAGGATTATACAGATGCTTAAGTGACTTTCTGAATTAAAGCCTTGAGTGACTTTTTCTTAACATTGCCACCTATATAAAAAGTCTTTAACGTTAGGTACTGTTTAGCATTCTTTGGTTTATTATGCTTAGTGTACTTGTGTTTTTTCAATATGATAACACTCCAAGGCAGTTGTGAATAGCTGAGATGTCTGACCTTAAAATAATAATTTTGTTGAAATTCCCAGTAATGTGAGTGGGGCCTTAATAGAATGAAACTTGTTTGGGTCATAAATGTAGATTATTTTGTGACTAAATGAAATACTAATGTATCTTGGATACTTACTTTTTTTAATTTATCTATCAGGAAGTGATGCTTCTTTGTATCATTTGCTATTAGTCCATCAAGTATCTAAATTAGTCTCCTCCTCATGACTGTATGCGCAAATGTATTTTTCTACTTTTTTTATCCTCCTTGACTTGGATGTTTTTAGTCAACTTTTTAAAAATAAAAATCCTAGTTCATAATAGGAAGGCATTTTATCTTTGTAGCAAATGCTTTTCAGTTGTGAAATGTCACTACATAAGGTGATAACCTGAACTATGTGACAAAAAATCTTGGCATTCCCTTTCTTTTAAGTATTTGACTTGATATAAAATAATTACAGAGCTATAATTGCTGTGAACCTTTACTGAGTATTTATCTTCTAGAAAGTGTCTCATGAAGTAACTGTAGAAGTTTCTTACTTTCTCATACTGTAAATACTTTTGCTTTTTAAATTTTGGATCAAACTTGTTTTTTTCCCACCAAAATGATTTGTTTTAGAAAGCCTAAGAGAACTTGAGCTTAAAATGGAATAGGTTTAGATTTTCTGTTAATTTTAGAATTCTGTTAATGAATTGCCAAAAATAGCCCTTTTGATGACTGTCATGCAAGAGTTGGCTGTAGAAAATTGAAGAACCAGTATTTAGACTACAAAAAGCAACCTGGAACATACCAGTCCTGTAAATGAGGTAAACTGGACAAAACCAGTACGACTATAAAGTGAAATCCTAAAATGCTGTGTAAATTTTTCAGTGCAATTGCAGTTTAGCAGATACTTGTTAATTTTATTAAGGAGCTATAAATATATAAAATTAATCTATACAGGCATTATGACAGTGCTCTTCAGCAATCTCTGGGATTATAAACTCATAGTAATGAAAATCTGTAAACACAGTCTTGTTGGAAAGTGGCATAGAGAGTATGGCCCTGTTTTGACCCTGTGTTGCTTTAGAATCAAATGCAGTTGTGTTGGTTCCCACCCATCCTG